TAAATTCTTTTTTTACTAGAATCTCCTCAGTTTTCTATTAATTAGCTAATTCTTAGGACAAAGAAATTTTTGATTTTTGCATTTTAAAGAACAATATTTGTAAAAATAAATGACAATAAATTCATTTCAGTTCCCCTCCAAGCATAACAAAAATTAATTAAAAATACCGTAACACTACAGTGCTCTATAGTCTTAATCTTTGGCTACTATGTATTTTGCCAAATGAATTAGGGATTGGACCGACCAAGAGAAGACGTTGGCATTAGGCCGAGACGAAATATCGAAAAATCGAGATTTTTTGAGTTTTCAAGGCCTTCCGAGATCCTTAATTCACTCACCTTCCTGTTTGGTCTTTAATTAGACCAATAACTATACATTTTTTTAAATTTATTTTTAGCCTTTTTTCAATCAAATAATAATTAAAAAGAGATAAATTTTAATTTACTTTCAAATTAACTTCAATTTTATTCTATAAAATATAATATTATATATTATGCAAATTTAAAAGAACAATTTTAATAAGCAACATTAAAAATTTTTTTAAAACACTTTTGCTCTTTTATTTCCTTCCGTTTTTATTGTTCTTTTATCCTCTATATTAATTCCTCATTATTAAATAGGCAGACAGCCAAATAATTAAAAATAAATTTAATTTTTCATCCAATAGTTTTTAATTGGGGTTGGATGTATTTACAGCGTCTATACCACTTTGACGCTTTTTTATAAAAATTCTATGGCATTCCAAACTGTAAAAATTTTTCCTAAATATTCCTTATAAACATACCCGACTTCTTTATAAATTTCAGAAATTAAGATTTTTTATTTCCAAAGTTATGCTCAAAAGACTGGGTTTTCGACCCTAACTTTGTCTGTAGCGAACCAAAAATTTTAAAATTTTTACCAAGTATAGTTAACTCTATCTAATATATTCACAGAAAATTTCACGCCCCCAAGTCCTCGTCTGGCCATTTTACAAAACAAAATCCTGACTAAGCCAAGCGTCATAAGCTCCGCGCCGAAATGTCCATTTCCGTTATAATTGCAATAAAAATGATATCACAACAATAAAAAACCTTTATTAATTTTTTGTATTATTTTATAAAAATCTCTCTTTCAAGTGTATTTCATCCTTTTATTTGTATTCCCCCGCAATAATGTCGTCAGAAGAAATTTATGCCTAAAGGCAAGCTTTTTTCAATACTTCAAAAACAGCAATAAATGGGGGGGGGGGTGGATGTTATTAATTTTATTGTGGCAAACAATAAAAGAAAAAATAGTATTTTTTGGTTATTAATTTATAAAAATTAAAAATATAAAAATTAATAACAAATTTTAAACGTAGGAAGGAGTACTTTTTCGTATAAACTTATTTGGATTCTATCAATAATCCTCCCGTTTTCGTTAATTCAAGTAGTACTCTTTAGCAAAATGTACATGTGAGCAGAGAGATTCACGTGAATAAAATTTTTTCGCTCGATAAAACTTTTAATTTTTTACAATTTTCCTAAAACAACAAGTACTAGGGAATATGTATAACCTCTAACGTACCAGAATTGAATACATTTTTAAACTATTAAAGTCCGAGACAGATCCCTTAAATTCCCAACGGAGATCCAATTCCGCGCTCCATTTCTCCATTTATACCCTTAATTTATTTTGACATTCCGCTCCTCTTTGCAACATTTAAATATTCCTTCCCAAAGAATAATCATAATTATTATTTTTTGTTTCTTTTTACTTTGCAAAAATTATTAAAAGAAAAATAATTATTGTTTTTATTAAAAATATAAAAAAGAAAGAAAAACTTTTTAGATATTTAATTAAATTTTTCCTCCAAATTAATTTTTATTTTTAAAAATATTTTTATTAAATTAAATAAAGTTATTTTTATTTAAATTAAATTTTGTTCAATTTAAAAATAGCTAAATATACATATTTATATTTCTAAATGCGGAAATTAAAATAGGGAAAGCCTATTAAATTAATTTTTGTATAAATTTATTAGATACAAATTGAATTTTTTATAAAGATTTTGGGCTATGCTAAAATTCCAAAAATTAATTTATAAGATTTTAAAAGTCAAAATTTTGTAAAATTTAAATTTTAGTCTCGACTTATTGACTTTATCAAAGGTCCAATGCCTAATAATAAGAAAACTAGTGATTTTTATTTCGTACCATACCGATTCTAATTTTTCCCTCATACGCTTGTCAATTCAATTCGCTAAGTGTGTGTTTCTGCCTGATTTGACTCAAATGATTGACTCACATTTCGGCTCATTTCAATCCCTTGATGTTTTATTAACGAGATTCTGCTGTGTCCGCAAATGTCGCGCTCCACCATATTTTTATATTAATCTCGGTTTTTTGTATTTAGTAATTGAATAAAAAATAACACACAGAAAACACCAAAACATTTTCAAAACATTAAATAATAATTTTTTCTATTTTTAATACTTTTTTCTTAGTATACTTATTTTTTATTTAAGATTTATTTATTTTTAATGGCAACCCAACTTTAAAGAACCCGACATTTGAGAACACGACATTTAGTATAGATATTTGAGGACATTAACCATAACTTTTTTTTGAAATGAATGGAGAAATTTTTTTTTCTAATTTTCAATAAATTAAGCTTAAAACCAGGCCCGATTTAAGTCAATAAACATAGAAAATTTTTGAAAAACTTTATGGCAGTTAATATCATTCCAACCCAACTCTTTACGGGTAAACCTAGTTTTTAGCTACCAGCTTTACTTCATTGCCTTTATATTTTTTTCAATTTTTATCATTTTATGGATATTTATTAGCTTGTCTTTTATAAAATTAAATACTTTTCTAAGTCCCTTATTAAAGGCTAAATCCCTTACTAAATCCCTTAATTATCGACAAAAGTTTCGTGTTCTCAAATGTCGCACCATTTTCAATAAGATATGTATTTTTAATATTCACATCACTTCAAATAAAAAAAACAACAAAAATTTAATTTAAAAAACAACCCTAAAATAGATCATATATTTTTTCTAAAAATTTATTTTTAATCTCTCCACACCCTCTTACAAATTTGTAGATTTTTAATTTTATTTTTTTTTCTAAAAATAGCCAAAAATATGATAAATATTAAAGGGGTGGGGCATAAATTTATTAATAATTAAATAGTTGCGAATAAAAAAAAATTTTTTTTAATCTAAAATATATTTTTTGAGAGAGATGTTAAAATTGAATTTATTTGGCCATTTTTATTTAAATTTTTGTTAAAAATTTTTTCATTAAAAAAATTTTTTTTGGTAAAATTATTTCTAAATTCTTCCCACTCCTTAAGAATCCCCCCCCCCCCCCCCTCCCTAAGTTTCCCTCCGTAAGTTCCAAACTTGTAAAATAGCCAAAGATAGACGCAAAGCCATAAAATTTTTGTAGATATCCCGAACTGTGTCGACTAATAAATATCAAGGATTTCAGAAAAATTCTGTTTAGTGAAGCCCCAGAAAATTAGCCAAGGGATTCTAACAATAAGAGTTATTCAATTATGTTTTCGGCTCTGTTCTGGATATTCGAAGATATCCACGAACCTTATCTCCGATTCAAAAGTTGTCAACATCCCCCCTTCGACCGATCATTTTCATTTTTTCTCTAATATTTGCTAGGATGGAAAGCGACTTGCGGGTTTTACAGTATTATGAAAATTTATCAATCTTTTCTTTATAATTTTAGATTTATTAAACCAAAAAAAAATCTCAATTTTTTATTTAAGTTAGTTGAGACTTGTAAGTCCTTAAGAATATTTTTTTAATCTGGAAAAGTCCGGTATTCCACTAATTTTTAAATTTCAGAACTTTTTCAGAGAAGGTTTGATGAAATTTATTATAGCTGCTGACATTCCCCCTACTTTAACTTCAACAATTACTCAATAAAAAACTTTTTTTGGTCTAAAAAGCCATTTACTTGTCTATTCCTAAATAAATATATAAATTATTAATACATTTATTATTTCCCATAAAAAATAATGGCATTATTTTATTGCAAATTAACTTTATTTTTTTATATTTTTATTGGGGAGAAAGCCTTTAAGGCTAATAAAATAAAAATATCTAATAATAATAAACTGTTGTCATTTCCAAGCATTTATTTGCACAAAAACGATCAAAAGATTAATTTATTTTTTGGTTAGTAAAAATTTTAAGTAACTTTAGTAGAGATCGGCAAGATCTCATCCCCCATTCGTAACGTGATTGGGTTTCTATAAGGTTCAACCACCGTCCCTGGGGAAGTTGGTTCACCGGGGACGGTGGGAGGCTCTCCCCTAGAGCTACCGTCCTCGTTACCGTGGCAAAAGCCGCCGTCTCCGTGAAAACAGCCACCTCACCGTAAATACTGAACCCTAGTTTCAAACGATCGAACGGGAAGGACCCGCAAGATTAATTCGTACTCCCTTTTTGTCGCTTAAAAACAGTGATTCCGGGAGGGGATCTCGTAAAATCTTGTATGGATGAATTCCTCCCATGCCTTTTCTAAATTTTAAAGAATGTTACATTGATAATAACAATATTTTGTTTTGAAATATTAGTCTTCCTTAAAAACTTGCTCTCTAATAAAACTTTCCCTTCATCAAAAATTAATTGAACCATAAAAATCATATAAAAATTACCCAACAAAATTTATACGTTATGTTAAAAACGAACATTTTTTATTTCGATTCGAAACAAAAATTCGAAATAATTTTGCTAAGCGAAGAAATTTCGAAACAAAAATAATTTCGAAATGAAATTTGAAATGAAACTTGGAATATAAAAATATAACAAAAATAAAAATTCGAAAAGGGAAAATTTTACCTCTAACGTTTCGTGCGGAAATAGATTTTTAAATAATTATTAAAGTTTAATGTTTATAGTTTAAAAATTAAAATATTTTTTTTATTTCACAATTCAAGGAAATACAAAAATTATTTTATAAAAAAATATTCTGACAAATTTTCTTTCTTTATTTCCTTAAAATACCCCCTCCTTCCTCCTCCTTTCAGTTAGTAGTTTAGACGCCCTTTCCAGCCAAATTTCCATAAATTCACTTCCTTTTATCCTTCCAAAATGCCATCAAAAAATGTCGTCAAAAAATTAAATTGATGTATTATTAAGCTATTTATTTTATAAATTAATATATCATCACTTTAATGAATTAAATAAATAAATAAATAAATAATTTTCTTTCTTTAAGGACCACACAATATTCCCATTAAAAATGTCCTTTATTAATTTCTCTTTTTCTTCTTCAACGTCTTTTAATTTTTCTAAAAATTTGTTAAAACTCCTTCCACGTTTAATGATTTATTTTTGGGCTTTTCTGCTTGTTTTAAATTTTATGGAAAAAATTGAAGCAATGCCTATTGATAACAACAGAGAAATTTATTTGGCAACTATTTTGAGGTAAAAATAATGGGGGAAATTGTTAGGGGGCTAGGGGTTTTAATAAGAAAAATTTTGGGCGAATTAGAGTTCAACCAGGGCAGGGGTTTTGGGCCAAGGGTTTTGCGGCCTTGGTAGCCCGGAAATCTGATAGTTTTAGAAGTTCAGAGTTCTTCCTAGAGTTCTTGTTCATAAGCTCGTACCAAAATTTGTACTCGTACTTAGGTACGAAATGCAAGTACGAGCAAAAAACCCATTTTCTAAGGCATGTCTGGGGTCTGAGTTTTTTCCGTGTTATGTGTATTACTTAAAAATTTAATTAATTATATTCCTCCAATTGATTTACTAAAGTAAAAATAAATTTAAATAAATATAAGAACTCAAAATAAATAATTATTTTAACAAACTACCTAAATATTCCTGCAAAAAATTCAAAAAATAATTATTTTTTATTTGCATATTTTTAATAAATTATTCAAAGTTTTTTAATAATTCAGAATATAGGGGGAAGTAATAAAAATTATTTTTATTTCCTTTTGGTTTTTGAACATTTTTTAATTTTGTTTCTATAAACAGATTTTTTTGAATAATAAATTTAATTAAAAAATTAATAAATTCAGAAAACCCCGAAGCTTTTAGATCAAAAATTTAGCGACTTTTTTGGAGGTTTCAGTCTTTGTCTCCACTTTTTTGAACATTTATTTAAATTTTTCCTCAAAGTGGTCTCTTTACTAGGGTATCAAGACTTCCCAAAAATCCCTTTAAGTCCTTCTTTACTTTTTATATTTCTCTTCAATATATCTCAATATTAGGAAAAATCGGAGAACGGACTCCTAAGGCGTCTTTCGGAAGTCTCTCGACCTTCGGAGAGAGACCCAACCCTGGGAGGGTCTCCAATTTTCCTAACAACCAAATTATCACATATCCCAAGCTTTTTTTTTATTCCAATTCGAAATTGTTCTTAAAAGTGTGAACGACATATTGTCTCGATATTTAACTTGTCCCTAATTTAAACATATCTCGAGGTCCTCCTCACTTCTCCCAAATTCTTGTACGTATCCCTGTTTGTGTCTGTAGGATAGCATAGAGAGATTCTTAGATTTTTAAATTTTTAAATTTTAATTATTTAATTTTTTTAAAGAGATTCTGACGGTCAAGCAGCACTAATCCCAATAGAAAACGACCAATTACTACAATTTTTTGCTCAGCCAAAAAATGAAATTGCCAAACAAAGAAAGAGAAGGCGTGATTTGAATAGTTTGGAATTGATGGCACGTCAACAAGAAACGCCTTTTTTGGCTAAAAAATATGACAGAAATTGTAAAATTTTTTGAAATTAAAAAAAAATTAAGAAATTTCTAAAAAAAATTCCTAATCTTTTAAAAATTAAATTCCTCTTTTCTCAGGCTTTTTCTCACCCGTACAATGCACTTTACAACAATGGGGAGATGGAAATCCAGCTGAAGATGTTTTGATTGGTGGAGGATCTGGTAGACGACGAAGACGTTAAAAACAAAATTCAAAAATTTTTTTTTGATCTCAAGAATTTTTAAAATTTTTTGTCATTTTATTATATTCTGAACATTTTTTGAATGTCTCTCGTTGTGTCCATTTTATTTTGGAAAAAAGCAGAAATTGTAAAATTGAATTTTTTTGGGGGGACTTTGTAATTAATGGAACTTAAAATTTGGACTAAAAACTATTTTTTGAGCGAAATTATTCTTTCAAATAAATTCCCAGAAGTCATTTTGGCCCGTTTTGCCTTTGCGATTTTTAGGGGGCTGAAAATAGACAAAGTAGCCCACCTTAAAACTCACTTGGTTCTGAACCCAAAGTCTTGATTAGAAAATGATTTCAGTTGGGTTCGTAAACGAACTACCTTTCATTCTTTTACTGACAATTTACTGCTAGAACTCAGACTCTTTCAAATAAATTCCAACAGTTTGGACCGTTATGGCTTACCGATTTTTAGGGGTCCAAAAATGGACGATGTCTTTTAATGACAATTTTACTGCTAGAAAATAAAGGGCAAAAATGAGAATGAAAATATACCTAAATTAGTGTTCCGTATTTCTATTCTCAACAAATTTCCTAAGGAAAACAATACTAAAATTCAATTTTATCAACAAAAAATCCACACATATTTACAGTTACAAATATAGCCAAATAAATACAATATATGCACAATATGTACAGAAAACACAAAAGAGAATAACAATGGGGGTGAATTTGGAAATTTTTGTACATTATACATCAATTTGGGACAATAACTATGGCAAAGTCAATATGTACAATCAGATGACATTCTGGATCAGCCTGGTCCTCTCTTTTCTTCCTTCTTCTCCTCCTTCTTGCCTTCCTTCTTTTCTTCTTTGTTCTGCGTGCCGCTTACTGTTGCAGGTGCAGAGCTAGGCTGAGAAGATGCCGGTCCTAGAGCCGCTTGAATTGAAGCCTGAAAAAATGGAAGAAATTGAATTACTGTTTTAAACAATTAAAACGAACATTGGGAGCAGTTAGGCTGGCATTGATTTGACCGCTAATTGTGGCAGAAGATGGACGTACTTGTCCAGGAACGGTGTGACCGGCCACTATAGTAGGCTTTGTAGCAGTTGTTCCGGGAGCCGCTGAAGGTTGCGCAGGTTTTTCAGTGGTAGAAGCCGGTTGGCTGGCAGCTGGAGCAGGGATGGGCGTTGAAGCAGGCTTTGTTCCCGAAGCCGGTTGGCTGGCAGCTGGAGCAGGGCTGGGCGTTGGTTTTGAAGCAGCAGCAGCAACCGCAAATCCTGGTGGTTTCAATGTGGTCGCCGTTCCCGAAGCTGGTTTACTGGCCGCTGGAGTAGAACTGGGCGCTGGAGCAGGCACAGGCGTTCCCGGAGTCGTTGCAGAAGTTTGTGAAGTAGCCGCTGGAGCTGGCTGAAAAAATAAAAGAAAAGGATAATTAACGACAAAAACGGTAAAATTTACATTGGTTGGAGCTGCACTAGCAGCAAGCGCAAATCCTGGCGGTTTCAGTGGACGAGAAGCAGCAGCCGATGTTGATGGGGCATCCGCTCCTTTCTGAACTGCCGAAGAGTTGGAAGTCGTTGGCGTAGCAGCGTTCGCGTTCGCTGACATTGTCGAGACCGATGCTCTAGGTGGCGTTGCTTGACTCTTTCTTGATGTTTGATTCGGAGCGGAAGTACTCGGTCTCGGGCCAATATAAACGTTCCGAGCAGTCATCATTTGTGATGCCTCCATAGGAAGAACGCGGCGCACAGTATTTGGGTTGTTGTCCTAAAATTTAAAAGGCGTGATAAAACGATCCGTGTAACACTCAAAACTAACAGCAGCATTGTTGTTTTGCCGATTGTGGTTGTGTGGATGATTCCTGGCGCTGGCAACAATCACATAGCGGTCACCGAAGCCAAAAGTGACGCGGATGCGACTCGGACAAGTGAAGAAACGTCCCACTGCGAACTGAAGAATGAGATATGATTTTTGAACTATAACAAAGAAAGGAAGTTCTTTACCGCGCATCTCCAGTACTCGACCGTGCCATGACGACTTGGATGGCGTGAATTGATCCGCCAGTTGTTCACCTCACCCGCATCCCACCAGGCACTGTACTCACGTCGGTTGCGAAAACGGCGGGCCTCTCTGTAGTCCCCACGCAATGAATTCCGTCGACGAGCACCGAACATCATCTTTACTAAATTGAAAAAAAAGGTTAGATTAAGTGATTAATTAAGAAATGAAAAAAGGAGTATACCTTATGCCGGATGAGTTAACAAATGAGTTGACGGACGATTTGTTGGAGTAGAGTATTTGATTGTTGGATGCTGGGGCTTTTATAGTTGTTTTTTTATTGAGACAATAAAAAGTACTAACAATAAACTTTGCTATAAAAGCCTGCGATTTCCTCAATGTCAACTTCTGCAAAACATTCTCACCTCTACAAACGTTAACGTTCTCAACTCCACAAACAACATGCTCGACCTTCGCCTTCTTCCATTGGAGCTCGACACCGGCCCTGGAACAAGGAAGTCATCAACGCTGTGCTCCTTGCTGCTGCTCGTCATCGCAACATTCCTTGTGCTTGAAGTACCCGGACAGTCCAACAATGACGGAAGCGTCGGAGTCGCCAATCACAAATTGATTGGCAAGGAAGTTACGCTCGTCGACTACACCATAGAAGCTAACGAGACAAACTTCAACTCCGACAAGTACAGGAAGCGCTTCCCGAGTGCCTGTGATGTTAAGATCGACAGCAAAACCATGTAAGTTTGCTTTTTTCAAAGATTTACTTCAGATCAAATTATTTTCCATTTCAGTGAGCTTCAGTACAACAGCATCACTGGATGCACAGTGGACCTGCTCGTCAAGAACGAAGACTACAACAGCAAAATCAAGTTAAACGCTGGAGTGAGGAACAAAAAAGGAGGGCTCGAAACATGCCTTGATGCTGGTTCCAGTGTCCAGAATAGTTTTAAAAATGTGTAAGTTTAATCTTCTTAAGAAAGTCGATTTTTATAATATCATTTGATATTTTAGTATGCCGTTCGTCTACAGTAAAAACAACAAGGTCATCGAGAAGCTCAAACAAGGTCCAGTTGACAATAAAAGTGCACAGTGCAAAGACGGAGGAGTAACGTGTAGAAGCAGAAGTGGAAAATGCATGCCGTGGACAACTCTCGAAATCTCATGGAGTAGTGAAGGGAAAGCTGCCTATGCTTACACCCGTTTAGGTAAGTAGAATTATATTACCATATTTAATCTGCAGACTTGCATATATATTTTTATTACAGTTGGCGAAGTTGAACCTGGCATAAGAGTACGTCTTGAAAAAGACGAAATGACCTGCGACATGGAGATATTGAGTGGGGGTGTCTTCACGGTGAATTTGAGACAGAGGATATTCAATTCTTCTGTAGAGGATATTTTCTGCGTTCCAGAGAAGAAACCATTCGTTGAACCAGAAACATGGACCATCACAAATGGGGATCTGAAAGATGAACGTCTACTTGTCTTTAGTCTGCTTCCATTGAGTGCGTCTGTTGTGCATGATGGTAGCAAACTCGCCGGTAAACCATCAGGGCCAAAGTGTGATCTCTTCGTTCAATTTGTGAGTTTCTACATTATTTTTTGAGAAGCCTCATTAAATTTTATGTAATTTAGGACAGAGAGTACTACGAGCTGCTGTTTGTCTCTCTTCCACCTCCGCCACCGACAACAACGACAACTACATCGACTCCGAAAATTACTTCAACAGAACCAGAAACACCTGAAACTTCAACTTGTGCTCCTTGCCCATCGACGACTCCACCGACTACAACAACTGCGCCCAAAAACATCACATCGACAAAGTGTCCAGTGGAAAGCAAGTACCCGAAGGAATCCAAAGGATGGCTGTTTTATCTGATTGTTGCCGCTATTATTGTAGGCTTAATCATCATCGGAATTTTGGCTTGGTTCACACGGTCCTGGATGAAGGTGAATTCTGCGAAGCTGAAGGAGATTAAACGAGAACGAAAAGAAGAAGAAGATGTGTATGCTCTGTACAAAACTGAAGCAAAACTCATAGAGAACATCAAGCCATTTGAGGAATGGAAGGAAGATGTAAGCCTAAAAACTTTACTAAACAAACTTATATTTTTCCAAATTTTTCAGAAAAAGCTGGAAGATCAGAAGGCAGGGCTTTGTTCGGTTCCGACAGAAACATTGGTTGGTACACTGTGGAAGAGAATAGAGAAGGAAAACGCCAAAGACAAAATGCAATTCCTTGTAGACCAGTTCGATAAGCAGAAGGACTTGGAGCTCAATGATCGCGAATATGCTCTGGAATTGGCTGAAAAGGGATATGATGTCGTTGGGAGTTTCAAGGATTGGAAAACGGTGAAAAATAATTTTTTTGACTGTCAGCTAGTCAGTTTTATATTTCAGGAAAGGAACATCAATCCGTTCGAAGTGATCGATGGGACATCAACTGGGGTTGAATATGGAGAGTCACAGATCGTCGATAAGCCATTGCTTCCCGGGGCCAGCATTGATGATAAGAGGCGATATTAGGGATATATCCTGTGCCCGGAAGTTCTGAAGGTGACGCTCGAGATATAAAAATGAGATATTCTGTATATTGTTGCTTTGCTATGCCACTATATATTGGTCTCATTCCCTGTACCTCCATATATTCTTTCCATCTTATTTAATATATATTTTGTTGTTTGTATTTGTTCGTAAATAAATTGTTTTGAATTGTTTTTTTAGTTTTGATAGATTGGAATAAATACCCATATTTTAGTAGTAAAACTTCCTTTAATAAAAAAGATTTGTAAAAAACTCAAATTTAATTGTAGATTTGTTCCCTAGATGTGGTTCAAGATTTGTTCATGCGTCTTGATTTTTTCATAAATGTGTGCCCTCATGGAGAACAACCTTAAAAAATTTAGAAATGCTTTAGAAAAAGTATAGCCATTTTGTCTATCGTTTTTTGCCAAGTTAAAAGCTTTTAAAATTTGACAAAGCTTGATAAAAAATTATTTCATTAAGTATAACTCGTTCAGCAATTAATGATTTTGGTTACCGGACATTTAGCGATTCATTAGGAAAATATTTTTTTTCTCTTTTTTCTTTTTTCTTTTTCATTTTTCCCACAAAGTTTGACGGAAGTTTATAAAAATCGGAACAATAGAAGAAAAACATTTGCCTATCCCCTTTCCTCTTTCAAAATTTTCAAAAAATAGGGAATGATGACATTTGGTCCCTTTATCCCCATTTAACTTAAATTGTTGCTTTTTAAGTAAAATCATTAATTAATTGCCTGAGAGACGTGAAAAGAGCTTTTCAAAAAAGTGTCAAGTGTTTAAAAATCAATGTTGCCAACAAAAGAATTTCTTTTGTTCTTTAAAGAATCAATCAAATGATTTTTCTTTTTTTGATATTTTTGGGATTAAAAGGAATGTTCTTTTTAATTTTTAAAAGACTACTGATCTACGAACAAATAAAAAAATTTTATTTTATAATTATTAAATAGAGTTAAGATAAATTCACAGCCACTGTTTCATCTGCTTATTATTTTCTTAATTTTATTGTAAGGAAGAAGCTACCATCTGAAAAATCTATCCCGATGAGATTTGGTCCCCTTGACATTTTATTGAGATTTAGTTGGTCCTTGACATCTTTAATCTTAACATCCTCAATCCTCGACATCCCCTTGGCATTCAATTGTTACAACCGGAGGTTGTCCGAGGGTTGTCCGAGATTGAACTAATGTCGACAGCACGAGAATATTTGGTTTTGGTCCTCTAACCAAGAGTTGGAGAATATTTGCCTGCTTGGGGCTGAACATCTATTTAGTGTTTATTAGGCTAGAAAAATGGCAAATCTTTTTTCGTTAAAAGTGGCCTGGTTCAGGGCTACAAGGGGCCATTAAAAATCTTATCAGGACGCTCCCTGTTCTGATTTCAGTCTGAACAAATAAAGTCTAAACCAAATCATTCTTTAAATCTTTCTCCTTTGACATTGTTTTCTGATCGGGAAGGTGTTTTTAAAAATCGTTGTTTTACTGCCTACCCAAATTTCCAAGATTTTAGCAATTTTTCCATTTATTCATCTAATTTTTAACTTTTTGGATTAAATTTCTTTATTTCTGACTTCCTCTTTCCTTTACATATTTATTCAATCTTTTCGCATTTATTACAAAAAATGCCAACAAAAAACATTGAGTGTCATGTTTTAGTTTCTCTCTAAATGAGATTTTTTTCCAATTACTTACACTCAATGTCCTTTTAAAATATTATATTTTTTTTATTTATTTTTGCTTTTTATATAGTAAAATTCAATAATTTTTTCTGGAAAAATTATTGAAAAAGTCTGAAAAAATTTAATTTTTTGGCTTTTTTTTTGGCTTTCTATTCATGGCTACTTAAAGTTGAAGCTCAATATAATGATCTCTATTTAACGAACCCCTCGATATAACAACTACTTTTTCGGTCCCTTCGAGTTTTTTGGTCCCTTGATCGAGGGTCGACAGTAGAGTTCGGAATTTGTGAAAAGCCTGGACCTGTACCTACTCTGGAGTTTGATTTATTGACCTGGGCCGTATCCTGGTTTGTAGTCCAGGAAAAACCCAGGAAGGTCAAAAATGCTTGGGCCTGGACTCTGGGTCCATGAAAAACCCAGTCCTTGGTCCATGCCCAGGCCTATCTTGTCGACATTACCAATTCCTTAAGATTGCCAAGCTTAAATGTTTCTAGAATTAAAAAATTTTCAAATAAAAAACAAGCAAAAGTTAAAATTAAAAATTTTTTCTTTTCTCAAAATGTTTTTTAACTGTCATAAAGTATTAATCAGTCTTTTGTGCATTTTTTAAAATATTACTATTCTTTCCAAAATGTCATTAAAAATATCCTTTCATTCTAAAATTTAAAAAATTTTTTAAACAAATTTTTAATCATCGTTTTTATTTAATAAATTATTTATTATAAAAAATATTTAACAATAAATAAATTTTTATTTAAAATAAATCACAGCTTTACACAAAAGTTTTTGGCAGTAGAGATTATCTAATGTTTATTTTCGAATTTATAACAAAAATAAAATCAAAAGGGCTTTAGGGTCACAGTTTTTGACTTTATTTCAGCAATCAGACCGTTCTTTACTTTGTGCGTGAATTTTAATCTTAGTTTATTTGGTTGGACACTAGGGTGGATGCTGCCTAAGCAATCCTTCAAGGATTATGTATGTACACTGATTTATTTATACCTCGGTTTTACGTACACTTTGTTCTTCCTCAATATTCGACTTTATCGAGATTGTTATTTTTAAGAAATAAATTTAATAACCCTCTTTTACTTATCTCAGTCGGTATAGCACCTGTACGTGGTGAGCGAAGGTGTCTAGCAATAATGGCTCACAGGATTGATGCCTGCTCGACACTAAAATCTAATTTGCTTTTAATTTTTTTTATTTTGTATTGAATACCTATTTTACAATCAAACAAAAAATTTCTTTAAAATTGCTATTAAATTTAACAAAAAAATCTGCACTTTTACACCTTCCCTTTGCTCTATTCATCATTAAATCTTATTACCGACATGAATGTTCCCGTTCAATTCCTTTTTTGTCACAAAAAAACTTTAAACTTTTGTTTTATTTTTATTTTATTCAATTTACTTTTTTCAATTTTGATAGATTTACTAAAAATTTAACAAAATATACACCCCCACACTTTATTTTTTCTTTAAAATTATAAAGAATGAATAACTTGAGATTGGAACGACACGAGACCTCCAACAAAAATCTCAGTTACTGACAATCAGGACTTTTCGAGATATCCATCTCGATTATCGTTCAACCCTCACAGTTCGAAAGATAATAATAACCCTAATCTCTCTCCATTTTTATATTATTAAATATTTCTTTAAATTTTTAGAGATTTGCTTAAATTAAATAATTTACCTATCAACATAAAATTATAATTTTTCAAATTTTATTTTAATACTAAAAATGTCACATATTAATGAAGAAATAATTGATGATTTGGACATGCAAAATAAGGTAAAAATAATTTTTTTATTATTAAAAATGTAATGGGAAATTGAAAAAAATTTTTGCAAACGCATCTGCAAGTCAAAAAAAACACGCAATTTTACGCAATCCACAAAACGCAATCCGCAATTGCGTGGATCCCTGAATGGGATCTTGTAGACACCTCTTGTACAGGAAGATTACAGTGTCGTATAAGTGAAAGTGTTGTATAGGTGAGAGATTATCGTTTAATTGTGTGGGGGCTAACTCAAGGAATAGACAAGTCAAGGAACGACCATTTCATGGAACACACCAACTCAATAAACAGACAAGTCAAGGAAAAGACAGGTCAAGGAACGACCAACTCATGGAATATTTTAAAATTCGGAATTTTTCGAAAAATCTGAATATATAAAAAAAATAAGAATTTAAAAAATTAGAATACTTCAAAAGCAGAATTTAAAAAGAAGCTTCTGCGAATTTTAAAATATTCCATGAGTTGGTCATTCCTTGAGTTGATCGTTCCTTGACTTGTCTTTTCCTTGACATGTAGTTCCTTGACTTGTCGTTCCTTGATTTGTCCTTGAGTTAGCCCGACACGGTTTAATTGAGAGTGCCAAAATAATATCCGATAATGGCAAAAATGCTTTTAAACACTGTATCCTCTATTTAAGTTATCTCTAACGTAACCCCCCTCCCCCTCCAAAAAACTAGTTATTTACATTACAGCAATATTTACCAAAAAATGTTGTCCTTTTATCTATATTTTTATTAAATTAATTCTATACAAATTTCCCCCTTTTCTCACCTAATTTTATTTATTTTTCTTTCCTTTTTTGTGCCAAAAATGTATTTTTTAATTGAGTCCAAGGAATAAAATTAGAAAATTTTTTTATTTCCTCTCAGGGTCATTGTACTGAAATAAATGCTAAAATGCCTTTTTTAGGCAAAAATAAAAAGGAAAAATTGACCAAAAGCCAATTTTCTATTCAATAAAATTTATATTTAAATTTTGGAAAATTCCAAAAAAGGAATTTAAAAAGGGGTTTTTAATTATTTTTATTTTTTTTGTTTTTTAAACAGTTTTTATGGCCGTATGGATTAGAGACGTTCGAGACCGAAATTTTTTAAGACAAAAGACAAGAACAAGACTTTACCCCATGACCAAGACCAAAACCAAAAAAACCCAAAAAAAGTCTTGGAATCAAGACTCGAGACCAAGAGTCTTGGACGTTTCTAATATGGATATATTTGCGGATAAAATCCGAAACTTACCAAAGTTTGCTATAATTATATCCTCTATTTTGCCCAAACCAATCTTAAACATTTTAAGAGCCAATATCAAAACAATTTGATCCCAGATTGCATTAAGATCCACCCCAAATTTATTTTTTAAAAATTAGTATCTAGTACCCTCTCTCAAATAATTGCCCCCTCTCTTGAGTGGTTGAAAAAATAAATACCCAGGGTAATTATTTTAGTTATCTAGGCCTGTAACAAAATTAATCTTAATAAGGACTAAGCAAAAGGCGAAGCACCAA